TAACTTTGTGTATGTTTGTTTAACCCGAGTTACGTAACAAACCATCTTTTCCTGAACATAAAACGTATTAATTCACAGAAAATAATCTGTGTGTCAAACAAACGTTTATGATTCTTCAGGTTTAGTTCATCAAGAGGATTAGTCACGAATGAATCCACTTTGATCATGTTTGTGTAAAGTTAGTTTGTGTCATCAACATTTTTCTTAATTCGGATTATATTAATTAGATTTTGTACATTTAAAAATATATTACTATTATTATTTGTTGTATTATTGTTATTATTACTAATAATAATCAGCTTTGTTACTAATGCACTTTACAAGACAAATAGTGAAGAAACATTGTTGACAAATGAATGAAAACAATTTAAAAACACTCAACTTTGAGCAAAACAATACAACATAACCAATCAAGTATAAAGAGAATGTTTTTGTGTATAACAACATGTTAAGATGTGACTTTAATGATAAAAGATAATTTAGGCCACACATCCTAAAAGTAAAATACATAATAGTTATTTGTTTTCAGGTACTTTGTCCAAACAAAGTAAACGACGTGTAAAGAATTGTCTTCTTCTGTCCAACGTAAACACGACCTGTCCTGAGTTTTATGTATTTATATTTATATAAATGGAGACAGAAGGAGTGAATATATGAAAGTCTTTTCTCTTTTCCAGTCCTCTTCCCGTCCCACACGAGGACCTCGGTGTGGGACAGACTTCGGGGATTTACGAGGCGAGCTGTTAAAGGATGAAGGTATTTCAGGACCTCATGAGTTCCCCATGGCCATAACAGAAAAGAGGAACGTCCGAATCCCCGTCCAAGCACATAAATACCCTCGCAGATTTCACTTTTTAGCCTGAGACCCCCTCTCTGTGTCCCGGTCCTCCCGTCCTCCATCAGTCCCTGCCGTCCTCCTCGTCATCGTCACTGTGAAGGTGAGAAACTCTTCTTCGTGGGTTTTAAGTGGCTAAAAGTGATTTTAATGATTGAATACGACCAGAATAATTAGTCTTTATTATTGTGTTCAAGTAATAATCACATATTTACACATTTGATTCTCACGGGATGGTTTAGTTTGAACAAAAGAGCATTTTTATAGAAATAAAAATATCCGTTTAATCCGTTCATATTCAACTACGTATTGTGTCATGAGAACTAAAAATGTTCAACGTCCGGAGAAAAACTCTTTTCCAGGTTTGAAGTTATAAGTGAACATTTTTACGCCCTAAATTTAGGATTTAATTAAGAGTTAAGTTCGTCTAATAAACTTCTTAAGCTTCCTTCCAATATTTCCATTTCAATACCTCTGAACTCGTGTCTCCACCTGAAGAAGTCGTGGATGCTTTTTGTTTTATCTCTGGCTGCTTCCAGGTGGTCGTCTCTCCGCCTCGTGACTACACGCTGACTATCACATTACTGCTGACCCTTCAAAATAAACCTCATTTCAGTTTTCAGTCGGTGTAGAAAGCTTAAATCATCTCGTTCTGCGTTCACAGATAATCAGGGAGGGAGCCTGACTGCTGACAAGGCACAAAAACAACAACTACAATCATGCTATTGTTAATAATAATATGATATACGACAATAATCATACTAAAAACATCCACATATTAAAGTAATGAGATCACGAGAAGCCTTTTGAACTCTGCTCCCTGTGAATACGACATCTGAAGCTCTTTTAATCAGCTGATATTAAACAAGTGAAGTTATGAGTTTGTTTTTAACATATTTTGATTGTTTGACTGGATGTCGGCACTGACCTCTCCTGTTACTGCTCATAAACACGTCATCGTGAATGTCACCGTTGACCTTTGACCTCGAGCCAGGATTAGCTCTGACCTGACTCTGAAAGGGCAGCGGGTCCCCTGGAGGCTGCAGAGGGGCCCCCAGAGGCCCTCAGACCGCAGTCTGAGAAACACTGAATTTATTAATCTTTGTCTTTGACTGTAATCACATGAGATGATTCATCTGTTACCTTTTGTTTTGCTTGTTAGAATATTAACTATTATTTAATATTTAGTTATTTTACAGGAAAAATAGAAAATAAAACAACTTGATAAAAATGAAGATGAACATTAAAAACGTGATAATATTCTATATATACTGTTATTCATTTAGATATTGGATTTAAAAAACATTTTGAAATATAATTATAAAATAAAAAAAATCTAAAAACCTGAAAATATTTAATATGAAGATTTTAAATAAATTTAAATTTAAAAAAACTTGTAAGAGAAGTGATTTTAAAATAATAATACATTTTGAGAGTTTGATTATGAAGTTTGTTTGTAAGACTGACGGATAAACAATTACATATTTCAACTGGTGTCGAGTTTAGAATGACTTTAGTTTAATATTAGAAGTCCTCGTTATGTTTTATAGCAGATTAAAGTCTTGTTCTTTGATATTTCCTGATGTGTAAAATACAATAATATTGTATTTTATTCAAGTGTTCATTCATAAAGTAACGAACGTCATATTGTTTCTTAACAGAGTCTGAAACTAAAGAGAAGTCAAGATGTCTGAGTGAGTATACGTTTAATGTTTATTCTTAATATAAAGATGAATAATATTTCATATGTTTTGAGAATCCTTGGTCGTGTTATTAATACTTTCACTTCTTTATTAATTAAAGGGGAAAGAAGATGACATCGAGCCGCAGGCATCATCTGAAGGTAGGATTGAACTAATAACTAATAAATAAAATAACCAATAAATAAAGGTTTGAGTCCCTCAGCTGGACTGTGATGTTGCTCTGTGTCTGCTGCGTCACATGGTAACGGTTCACGGTCTCATGTGTCAGCAAGTATTTCTGCTTTACTGTAATAACTTTAACAATACTAACTGTAGTTAGTCTCTCTGTCTTTGTCCTCATGAACGGATTATGAGCCAATGGGCCTCTGGACACAGACATCCAAGAGACCGCTTCCCCTACGCAGGAACACGACTCACAGACCCAACAGTTGTTCACACTCTCTTTGTTCTTCTGTGTCTCTTTGTGGCTGTTTTGCACATTTTTGTCGATGTTTTCTGTCTCTTTGTGTTCATTTTTTCTCTTTGCGTCACTTCCTGATTTTAAATCACTTCCTGGTTTGAACGTGTCTCTTTGAGGGACATTTTGCAGGGGAAGGCCTGTGGGGCCCCTGACTCTTTTGGGCCCCTGGGTCAGCGCCCGGTTGGCCGGTTCACTAATCCCTCCGTGTTTGTCCTGCAGAGTGTGATCCTGCAGATCGCTGCTAACTGGCTGGAGCAGGAAGCCACTGAAAATAAAGCCGCCAAAGAAGCTTACATGGCGGAGAGATGCTCCGCCCCCGACCTGAGCGGAGACCAGGCAGCTCTGATGGTGACAGTAAAACCCTGAAACATGCAAACTTCACTCTGAGCGCCAAAGACGAGCAGAAGAGATGACTTTCTTCTCTCTCTTTATTAATTTCATCAACAGGAATTCTGCAAAAAGTTGTACCAGGCGCTCGACAAGATCGATGAGGAGAGATACGACACCCTGTCCAAGGTGGAGAAGTCCGACAAAGAGGTAGAGATGTGTCTCCGTCACAGCTGCTTCAACCTGGGACCAGAGTTAAACCCTTTAATGCACCAGTATAACATTATACATATACATATAATATGCATCATACATCATTTATTCTAATTATTGATGCATTAGTGTGTACATCACTTTAATGTTGCAGCTGGTAAAGGTCATTTTAATAATGGGGGTCTCTAGAAGCTATACAGTATTTGCTCCTTCTGTTCTCTTTGTATTTGTGTAGTACTTCAGTACATCAGTGAGTAGTACTTCAGTACATCAGTGAG